TCTCTCTCTCTCTCTCTCTCTCTCTCTCTCTCTCTCTCTCTCGCTCTCTTTCCACTCCTCCCTCTCTCGGTATATTTCATCCTCGTTTTTCCACCCATACTTTCTTTCTTAAAGTCTCCATTCTCACACTAGCTCTAGACCTCTTCTCGCAATTAGGAATTGCGTTAGAAAGAATTCGTGCACTGATTAAATGAACTCTCTCCCTCTCTCCCTTTCTCTCTCTATCTCTCTCTCTCTCTCTCTCCATCTCTCTTGCTCCCTTGCTCTCTCCCGGTTTCTCTCTCTCTTATCTCTTCTCTCTCTCTCTCTCTCTCTCTCTCTCTGTGCCTCCGTTTCTCTCTCTTCCCCCTTCTTTCTCGCTCTATGTATATACATATTTATAAACACACTAATATAACGAAATTGATGAATTATCTAAATTATAATCTAAATACTCACAGTCGTTGCAATCCCGTCATTGCAGAAACTGTCGCTGGAACGATCTCAATGCGATTGCGATCTAGTGATCTGCAATGTAGAAACGGCCGCTCGGACGATATATGCTCTCGTAGAATATAGAAACATATCTTAATTTGGATGCACTCAAAAGATGAACAAAAACAGTCGGCAACAGCTTAGCATTCTACCTTGTAGGATGTGTAGAGTACGCGAATTACCCCGAGGGAGAAAGGTACGCAAAGTGAGCTAGCCGCAGAGTGGGAAAGTAAACGTGAGTGAACAAAGGTAAACTAATGATCACACAATGCGACGATAAAAGTTTTTGCAGCGACAGAACATGATTTTGTAAAGATACGAGAAAATTTGCTTAGCGCGATAACCATATATTTTCTTTCAGTTAGACCATTGACAGAAACCATTTTTGTTTCGTAAAGATATGAGGAAATTTACGAGAATATGCTTATGCGCGTAACCTCACGATATGCGTATACGTCACCTACTATATGCACACGTTATATGCGTACGTGGCCCGACCTACACACACGTAATTAATATGCGTGTATGTAGCCTGATCCGGTCAGGCTCTACGACTGCTTCACGTAATGAGAGGCTATAATGTAATATATACGTAAATACGATACGTATAAATAAATATACGTACACGTATACGTATAATATTATGCGTAAAGTATATATAGCTTCTGGCAGCAGAAGGTTTACAGCCAGAGCGATATTCGCCATGTTATTAACGCTAATGCTATGACTAATATTACTTCCGACACCGAGTCCCCTGAGGGCCTTTAATGTGAGAAGCTTGCTTTGTTGGCCGCGCCGTGGCGCTGCTGTTGTTATCATCACACGTATACCCGCGGGCGGCGTCATTTTTTTTCCTAGGTCAATCAAGAACATAGGGCTCTAGTGAGCGCTGCTATTGGTTGAGCTTGTTTCGTCGCTCACGCACACGCACGAACGCACGCACGCACGCACACGCACAGGCACAGGCACATGCACACGCACACGCAGTGACACACTCGGACGCACACGCACACACAAACACGCACGCACACGCACACGCACACGCACTCACATGCACACGTACACACAGTGACACACTCACGCACACGCACACGCACACGCACACGCACACGCACACACGGTGACACACGCACACGGCACACGCACTCGCCACACAGTGACACACTCACAACGCACATTGCACGCCACACGCACACGCATACGCACACGCACACGCAACGCGTAAGCACAGCAACCGCGTTAGTATTTTTGGTGTTTGAAATGTGTTAGGACAACTTGGGGAAATTCGCCATCATAGCGGCTGAAAATCGTTTCTGAGCGCGAGAGCATAGAGCATGAATCGTGTAGTTATTAACTGAAACTTAAATGTATGTTTGTGTAAGCGAATAAAGCAGTGTGGCGTATTTTGTTATTAATTTCTGTTTGATGCTTATTCAGGCCTGCCTCGCATGGACGCGCTTCGACCTGTTGTTCCACCCCTACTACTCAACAGCGTCCTGTAGGCTCCGTAAACTCGATAGCGTCGGTGGGTATCTCGGCTAACCTATTGTCGTCAATTGCCGCTGCATAAGAAACGAGGGCCAGATAAAACATGCAGTATAGCTCCAGCATTATAGGCTCTTCAGCCCACAGGCACTCCGTATACGTGGTCGCAGGCCACTTAGAGCTAGTATCAGTATCACGCGCGTATAGGGACTGTACTACACACGCGTAATATCGGCAGAAGGTGCGTTGGTCGTAAATGCACGTATAATATGTACCGCAGGCTAACTATGTCTGATATGGTTTAGGTTTAGGTTACGGGTGTTAGGGCTAGCGTCAGTGATTATGGCGTTGGGTAGTGGTTAGGGATTAGGCGTAGGCACATGACTCCGCCGACACGCTCGGGTCCTACATATACGACAACGACCCCTTCAGCGTAATTATGTTCGTATATAGCCCGACCAGGCTCTACGACTGTTTATCACGTAGAGCGAAGCGCCAGAGGTGACTTGTGCTACCTGTGTGCTAGCCCGACCTGGCTCTACGACTGTTTCACGTAGCAGGAAGCGAGAAGGTGACTTGTGGCTACCTGTGTGCTAGCCCGGTCTGGGTCTACAATTGTTCCACGGAGCGAGAAGCGATAAAGTAACTTCTAGCAGAAGCGAGATAGTAACTTCTGGCTAGTGCGTATAATGCTTACTACGGTATACTATGATATACGGTACGGTACGTATATGTTAGTAGTACACACGTGCCAAACTCCTTACGGGTGCTACGATGCGCACATCCGGGGCGCAGCGGGATATATATAGACCTGCCGATGAAAGAGGTAGAGCTAACGAGAATGGGACCGTGCGCACACGCGTCCACTTTCCCTCATTCGTACACAGGTAAAAGTCGCACGCGTGGTAAGGAGACAAAGAAAACGCACTGAAAAAATATAACGAGATCAGAAATAGATTTTGCATGTGCAGAGAAGTTTTTTGGGGAGGGGAGGGAGGGGAGGCGGGAGGTCGAAGTAATCTGTCAGTCGGCGTGCATTTTGACGACGTTGGTAGAGTTGCGTCTCATTAGTAGACAAACACGACACAAGCGCGCACACACACATACACACACACACACACACCACACACACACACACACAAACGACCCACAAACACACACCACCACACACACACCCACACACACAACACACACACACACACGACAGCACACACACACACACACACACACATCACGCACACACACACGCATGCACACTCACACACAAACACAGCACACACACACCACGCACACACGCACACAGCGCACACACGCACACACACGGCACACACACACACACCCACACACAAGCACACACACACACAACACACACACACACACACACAAACACACACAACGACACACCACGATTCAGCACACCACGCACACAGCACGCA